TATCCGCATTATCGAGAGAGACAGTCGAGAGGTGAAAATAAAAAAAAAGTTCTTCGTTAATCCCTCTATAGTTAGAAAATCACGCGTATCTCGATTCCATCGACGAGCCTCTCGACGCGCTCTCGCCTTATTTTTTCTCTTTCTCACATTCCCTGATTTTTCTCGTACATTCCAATCTCGCGACGCGCCAATCACCGTCGCCGGGGGCCGGTTTTTCGCGACAGTGTCGCGTCTTTTCCCCCTTTTCTAAACTCTTTAAGATTAATAAATAGCCTAAGTTCCGAATTGTACGTTGCCCGGAATGAATCTTGCTCGTGTCGTTTCCCCCACATACACAAGACTTAACGAAGTCTCCCTCGCTTCGCGAAAACGATTATAAACGGATCCGAGTTCTCGTTGCATATCGGAACCGTTCGCGTGTCGATTTGCTTTTCAAATTTTCCCTCGGACGAACGCGAAACGCTTGCTCGAAGAAAGGAAGAGAGACAGAAGGGAGAAATAAAAGAAGGAGAGAAAAAGAAAACGAAATTCGTTGTTTCGACGAGGACCACCCACACGCGAGTACCTCGTTCCATTCGCGAAACTTTAGGCATACACGGAGCCGCGGATAACCCGTGTCGTGGCAGCATTCGTTCGATCGATTATTAAATCGTTCCGAAATTTCGTCGAGCGTGCAGCCTCTAATTGCGCGGCACCCGTCGCGTACGATCAATTAATGCTCGATTAATTGCCCGTGAAGCGCAAAACGAGCCAATCACCGAGGATAGGATCGAGTCTCTCCTCTCTCGCGACACGAGCGAATTTCCCTTCGAGCTACGCACAGCTCGTTACACTTACACACCGACACACACGCAAACACACGCGCGCACTTTACACGTACACCGAATAAACGATGAGCCCCGCCATAACGAAATTTACGCCGCGTTTACGCGTAATTATTTCCGTTGATCATCGTTTAATCGATCGCAGGATCGGCCTTAGGCGTTTAGTTGCTCGCGACGTGTTACTCGTATACTTTGTTGCCATTTCTCGTTGTTGTTGTCGCGAGTATCGTCTCCTTACGTGTGCAAATTTCTTCGTCCCCTTCGCGATCGTTATCGGCAATGTTACTTTCTTTCTTCTTCCAATCTTTTTCTCTTCGTTTACCGATTTTTCCCCCGCGTTTCGTTCTTCTTCGAGCGAGGTGTCCGTTTCAGCAGCGCGTTATATTGCTCAAAATAATCGGGACGACTAAGCATGGGAAATCGATATTTTCATACTATGCGAATCGAGGATGCCCGAGAATTCCGTAGTATTAAATATGCAGTATTATTCCCTAGATATTTACTTGCGTTTCTTCCTCACAATTTCACCTTCCATTTCACGTTCCGACCACCGGGTACATTCTTCGCTTATTTTGAGCAGTACGCTGTACAATTGTATATACAAAATCGAATTTCATTCGCACGGAGACACTCGATCGCTGTTCACGCACGCGTATTCGAAACATGTACACATACACATACGTACACGCACGATACACGTACACCCGTACCGTACACGCATGACGTCCTTTCGCAAGTTTCGTTTTTTAGTCGTTTTGTATAAGATGAAGAAAATAATACAAAAAAAGAGAGAGAGAGAGAGAGAGATTGTGGAAGAAATAATAAGGTGGAAGCGAGAGAAAAAAAGACGATAAATTATATAGCATTCTTGCCATTTTTACTACGTAATACGACACCCAGAACAGACTACCTCAGAGTTCAGGAATTTAACGATGAATGAAAGGAAGAAAGAAAAGATGAAAGAGCCAATGCAATAATAATAATGTTATTAAAGAAAAGAAATGTAGCTGAGCGCGCAACCGTGCGGGCGGAACGACGACGCCCAACCCCTTTGCGCTTTTCTCCGCTTCGCATTTTTCTCAACCAACCCCTCCACGCGAATCGGTTCAACGAAAACAGCGACTCGCCGCCGAGTATCTTTTCTCACCCGGTATTAATCCCGGTTGGCCGGGATTTCCGCGTTAATCCGCTTGCGTTCGACGACCGCGCGCGTCGTTTTGTGTCCATCATTTTTTCCACTCGTTTCTCAGATTGGCCAGTAACACGGTGTTAGGGTTAGCAGCGAAGTAGACAAATCGCGGGAGAACGCTCTCTTTCCTCTTTGCTTTTGCCCGCAAAGTTCCTCGAGTCGCCCGCCGGCCGTACGAGCGTGTAATAGAGCATTATACATATAGATTCTAATATAAACGAGAGATAGAGAGAGAGAGAGAAAGAGAGAGAGAGAGAGTGAAAGAGAGAATAAGAGCGAGAAGAGAGACGATAACGAAGGGGAGGATTGTAGAGATCGATGTACGTTTTAGAAACATATCAAACAGTATTACTGTACACTCAGTTTTATTATAAATAATCGTATAAAGTTAAAAAAAAGAGAGAGCAAGAGAGAGTGAGAAAGAGGGAAAGATAGAAGAGAAAAAATGGATGTAGAGA